GAGGTCGAGTTCCGGACAGGGGGGAGGAGGAGGGGACCGGGGGACGCTGTGCGCACCTAGATAGCCCGCTCCTGTAGCATGCGGCGAACCATGGCAGCTAGACACCGCTTCAGTGATTCCTTTAACCATTGAGCTTCATCATCCAGGTCTCTTATGCATCTTCGTGTGCGCAGAATTATGCTTAACAGAAGTCCGATCCCCCCAGACATCTGGAACTTTTCCCTGCTGTGTGAAGGCAGCCGAAAGGACAAGTTCTGGTACAAAAGTGGTGTGTCTGAAAACACAGTTCCAGTTAAAAACCGGATTGAATTGTCCACAAATGTTCCAGAATGTCAATCTGAAAAGGGCTCAAGAGAGTCTCTGACTTTGGGAACCAGCTTGTCTGGGGAACAGATGAGGATCTTCATCCAGCTGTAGAAGGTTCCCAGCCCCCGATCTTCACGTTGCTCACCAACGTTTTACAACAAAGCATTTGATGACCTGGCTCCGCGTTCCTAGCTTACATAAAAGAAGGGAAAACTTCTAAAAACTCAGAAATCACAGAAAACTTTATTTCAAACAAATCTGCTGCAAAACTCTCCCCACTTTAGTTCTGATATTGTCACGACACAAAATTCAAGCTTAATGACATAAACCAGCCGAGCACCATAGTGGTTTAGTATTTTCTCTGCTAGAACACTGTGTTTCCACCTGTTATCAAAAGACGACCAATGGGAACCTTTGCAGCTCAAACTTCACCTGTCTGGAACATGACCACACCTGACCTCTGACCATTACGTAAGTCGGCTGATAAAGTCGAGGACTGATCTTATCTCCATCGTCTGGATCTACTGAACAGCGGAGCTGGCTTGACGCTGACTCGCTTCATGTTTTTGGGGCTTCAGCAGAAGCAGCGAAGGTTTAAAAAAAAGAACAACGCAGACAGGATCCAACCTAATGGGAAGACAGTCTGCAAAAACGACAGAGAAAGCATGTTTATGCAAAGTTTAGCCGAGTTTTCGTTAGCATCTGTCCCACGAGCCGAAACGTAAAGTGGCATTTCACAGACTCCATCAGCAGGATGATTATACACAAAATGTTTTCTTAATAATATTCTGTCCCAGAGAATGATATAATCTGACTCTGCTTCCAGGAAAAGGCAGCAAAGCATCACCTCCTGTCCTGGGATCGGACACGTTTTGTTTCTTTTTAAGAACTTCCAGGAGATTAAATGTAGAGGAGGACATTTACGGCTCCCACACGCTGAATCAGGACCTAATCTTGGGTTCTGTGGGTTTACGCTGATAGCTCAAACATTTGTGCTGACTAATGATCTCCAGTTCCTTGTTCTCACCTGGCAGGTAAACACTTTGTGTCAGAATGAAGACTCCAACAGACTCGTCATAGAGCTCAGTGCAGACACAAGTCTTTTTTTGGTGGACGTTTGGCTTTGAAGGAAGGACAAATGGAGCACATTTTACATCTTGGGCATTAGATCCAAGAAGTTTTTTTTTCTGTCTTAGTTCACACGACCATAATATTTATGAATATTCGAGAACCTGAGATGCAGGTTTCTCCTTCAGAGCTTTCTGCAGACCGGAGTTCATGGTTTCATCAGTTACAGCATGTGGTCCAGGCCCTGAAGCTGAGAAGCAGCCCCAGACCATCAAATCTCCACCTCCGTGTCTGGCTTTGATTTGATGTTGCTTTAATGTTCGTTTCACACCAGGTATAACAAGACAACACCATTCTGACCACAGAGGCCTGCAGCGGTTTAAAGCTGGCTCTGGGTCCTTTTGATGACGTGTTGCTTTTTGAGATCTTTTAGCCTAACTCATGTTGTCAGACAGGTTCTTAATTCTAGATTTTTGAATTATAATCGGCCACTGTGAGGCCGGCTGAACATGAAACCAGTTTTCTACCCTTTTTCCTGCATTAGCCACTGGTGGAAAATGGACGGTGAAACTCTAGTATTAGAAAGCTTACGGGTTCCTTTTACTTTATATTTTCTTTTTTTAAAGTCATCATTGCTTGCATTTTGTAACCACGCACATAAAACCAGTTCATCAAAAGCTTTGGTGACCAATGTGAGGCTGGTGGGCTATTAGCGGTCCTTGGAGTGATTTTGTTCGCGGTCGTGTAAAACCCTGGAAAAGGAAACAATTTTCTTATTATTTAACACAAAATGGAAATGAAGGGAAACTATTTTAAAATGTTAACGGTTCAGTACAAAGTATGTGTCGTTTCAAAACCATCTTTACTTTTATTTTAGTTTCCTAGTTTCCCAGACCGCAAACCCACAGATTTTTACTAAAGCAGACTTGTGCAAGCATTCATAAAACTAAACACAGCAGAACATTACTGAAGATTGGGACTCGCGCTTTTGGCTGAAAGAGTCGTGGTGGATGGCTGCTTATACTGGAGGTTTCTTCCTGTTAAAAGGGAGTTTTCATTAGAGCCCTGCACGGGCCTAAAATCTGAGCCCGTGTCCGGCCCAGCCCGAGGGGGTGGAGCCCCAGCCCGACCCCGCCCGAAAAGGTTTTCAGGATTCTCTGGCCCAGCCCGAGCCTGAGCCCGACTTTTTTTTTAACCAACTAAATGAAAACAAAGGGCGTCAATCCTGACCAATGTGTCAAAAGACGTGCAGGATCCGATCAATTTGTTTTTCCCTCATTTACCATCACGGAGATGACGGCGCACAGGCTCTGGTGGTAATCAAGTTAAATTTAATCTCTTTCCAACAATTTTCACAAGAAAACAGAACAGTCAAAAGCAGGGCTTGTGTTGACCGGATAGTTCCCGTATTTGGCCGTTTATTTTGACGGAGAAAGAATAGAAAGAATTATTCCGACGCATGCAGACGAACTGACATTTTATTCGTTACACACATCGCAGATGTTGCTAAATCACTCAAGAAAAGATTCCCATCTGAACATCTGAGCTGCTCAGCACAGCTCGCTGTCAGCACATATGTGCACAGCGAGCTGAAGTTGTGGAGATTGGTTTGGAGCGCATCGCAGAACCAGAGCGCATGCGGGAAGGTTCCTCCCACTGAAGCGAGTGTTTTCCAAACCCTGTCTCTCAGAGAGACTTGTCACTTAGAAAATGTTCCTTGATTATGAAACTTTGGCTGAATAGTGCTTGTTCCTGTCTCCAATGTGGCGACACATCCAGGAGGAGAATCCCAGAATCTCTTCAGCCCAGGAAGCGCATATGATTACGCACAAGCGTGACCCGTCAACCCGGTCTCACAGTAAGACTGGGTTGGACCTGTTCAGGTTCACGCAGACAATCTTTACATAGAATTGACTTACAGATACAAAATTAATTCAGTGAAATATAAAGCATTTTATTTAAATATCCATTCATTAATTTACAAGCACAGAGAGCCGCATCAGATGGATGGAAGAGCCGCGGGTTGTGACATGTTTTCTCCAGGACCAGAGAGGACGCAAACTCAATACATCTCTTTTATTGTGAGGTAATAATTTCTCAGAGTTTTGCGGTTGCGGGCGGGAGTAGACATACATGCTGCAGTTGCGGGCGGGAGTGTAACACACACGTTGCAGTTGCAGGCGGTAATTGTCAGAAATTCAGCGGGAGCAGGAGCGGGATGAAAAAAACAGTCTCAGCAGGGCTCTACTGCTGCGTTTGTGTTTCAATTTTTTTTAATGAATTCAATTAAAAATAAAGGCGCCCGGCCCGGCCCGTGTCCGAGGTAATTACACAGTCGCTGGCCCGAAGCCCGGCCCTAGGGCCGTCAGGCCGGGCCGACCCGAGGGCCTAGGGCTTCAGTGCAGGGCTCTAGTTTTCATCTCCACTGTCGCTGCATGCTTGCTTAGTATGAGGATTGCTGTAAAGACTCTGACACTAGTCAGTGACTCGATGCATCCTGCTGGGTTCCTTGTATAGGAAACTTGTTACTGATTGGCTTAATGACCTGACCAGTACTAGTTACTGTGTGGAGGTCCTTGAGACGACTCTGGTCCTGATCTGGTGCTTTATAAATAAAGTTGAATTGAATTGAATTGAATTGGACCAAAAAAGTATTTTTCAAAGACCGAGAAACTAGAAAAAATCCATCTAATCTGGGAATTTGATGATTTAATCTAGACAAACGCACGAAAACCTTCTAATGTCTCGTATCTGCAAAGATGTTCAGTTTAGTTTCTACAGAACACCGAGTACGTGTTCTCCTCATTAAAGTCGTGAGCAGGTGAAAATAGAATCATTTTTACCTTTTTAAAGAAAAGGACATTTTTGTGGGCTTTCTAACCCCCCCCCCCCCCACACACACACACACACACACACACACACACCCATCCCAAAAACATCGGAACAGCAGAATAATTATCTTTATATTAAATTCCTGTTTTATACCTTATTTTATTTGCTGCATTAAAGTGGCCAAACATCCTCAGAGCTCAGCATCGTACCTGTCTCTAGAAATACACCCGCACTGAAACACGTGCATGCACACGTGCACACTGGCATCCTCCGTGGGGTTTTATGCATCCAGGTGTATCTGCATGTAAACGGCCCCTCCTGAGACAATCTGACCTCACAGAGGAGGTTTGTCTGGTCCTCTTGTTCAGTGAGAATATCGCCGGGGCAGAATGGAAACTTCATTTTGCTGAGGCTAATATTAGCCCGGGCCTCTGGAAAATTCCTTTTAAATGATCACAAGCTGAGAAAAGCAAAGAATTTGTTTGGTGTTTTGGCTGACACTGTTCTCTGCATCCACGGCAGTTTGTTTCTCTTGTATTTATTTTAGATGGTACGGCACACAGGAGGGTCCTGGGAACACAGATGTGGAGGCAGAGAAGTGCCGGGGGGCTGAGATGATGAAATCTAGGATTGTCTGTGGGTTAGGGTCAGGGTAGGCACCTAACAGCTGATTTGGACTCCTGGGGGACAATAATACTACTATACAGTATTTATCAGGTTGGGTTAGGGTTTGTCTCCTCCTGTTTGGACCCCTGGGACTTCGCTCTATAACTCTGTAACCTGTGTCTTGTCAGGAAAATCCCACCTGGCCATAGTTCAGAGGGTGAACAACGAAGGTGAGGGAGATCCTTTCTACGAGGTTCTGGGAATCGTCACCCTGGAGGACGTGATAGAAGAAATAATAAAGTCAGAGATCCTGGACGAGACGGACTTGTACAGTAAGTTGTCTGGTTACTGAAGTGTCTCATTTAGAAGAATTAATCCTGATCTGTGAAGGTAGAGCTGAAGCTCATGCAGATGTCTCCTTCTGAACCATGACGTGTCATCATGGGACAAATTCAGCTTCTTGGTTAAGCTCACTTCTAAAAAACCTGCCAGTGATGTTTGGCATCACGCACCGTTTCCTACAGACAGCAGGAGGTTGGGGCTGGGAGCAAAACACAGTCAAGTGTATAAATAAAAATGTAAACACCAAAAATAAACAGATCCTTAGTGAGTGGGAATCAGGCTCGACGTTCCCGTTCCCTCCAGTATCATTATTATCCAAGGAATAAGGAAACCCTCATTTCAGAAAGAGCTTGTGTTTAGATGGGTTAGGGTTAGGACTAACTAACCCACCTGAGGGTAAGGGTTAGCTAACCCACCCGAGGGTTAACTAACCCACCTGAGGTTTAGGACTAACTAACCCACCTGAGGGTTAGGGCTAACTAACGCACCTGAGGGTTAGGGCTAACTAACCCACACGAGGATTAGGGCTAACTAACCCACCCGAGGGTTAGGACTAACTAACCCACCTGAGGGTTAGGGTTAACTAACCCACCCGAGGGTTAGGACTAACTAACCCACCTGAGGGTAAGGGTTAGTTAACCCACCCGAGGGTTAACTAACCCACCTGAGGGTTAGGACTAACTAACCCACCTGAGGGTTAGGGCTAACTAACGCACCTGAGGGTTAGGGCTAAATAACCCACCCGAGGGTTAGGGCTAACTAACCCACCCGAGGGTTAGGGCTAACTAACCCACCCGAGGGTTAAGACTAACTAACCCACCTGAGGGTTAGGGTTAACTAACCCACCCGAGGGTTAGGACTAACTAACCCACCTGAGGGTAAGGGTTAGTTAACCCACCCGAGGGTTAACTAACCCACCTGAGGGTTAGGACTAACTAACCCACCTGAGGGTTAGGACTAACTAACCCACCTGAGGGTTAGGGCTAAATAACCCACCCGAGGGTTAGGGCTAACTAACCCACCTGAGGGTTAGGACTAACTAACCCACCTGAGGGTTAGGGCTAAATAACCCACCCGAGGGTTAGGGCTAACTAACCCACCCGAGGGTTAGGACTAACTAACCCACCTGAGGGTTAGGGCTAACTAACCCACCCGAGGGTTAGGGCTAACTAACCCACCTGAGGGTTAGGACTAACTAACCCACCTGAGGGTAAGGGTTAGTTAACCCACCCGAGGGTTAACTAACCCACCTGAGGGTTAGGACTAACTAACCCACCCGAGGGTTAGGGCTAACTAACCCACCCGAGGGTTAAGACTAACTAACCCACCTGAGGGTTAGGGTTAGTTAGTTTTATCAGATGACGTGGGAGACGGGTAAAAAGTCCTGGATTCACTGACGTCCATGTTGATTTGATTTTGAAATCTCCAGTTTTCGCTCTTTTTTTCTGTCGCTCTGTGATCTCAGAGTCTTGTTCTGATTATTTCACTGCAGCCGCTCATCAGTGCACGTTGGCGAGGAGGACCGTTTGCTCGTTGTGACTGGCATGTCAGACATGCTGCTGAAAACACGTTGTTGGTTTTAGTTTTCTTCAAATAAATATTATTTACAGGTTAAAAAGAGAGAAATGAACATGCTTCAGCTGAACTGGTTCCCAGTGCACTCGCTGGGAACCAGCATGCCAGGTGGTGAGGATGCTTTGGCCCAAATGCAGCTGTTTGGCTTCCCTTTCAGAACCTGCTTCTGCCTCAGCTCTGCTACCAGTCCAGACATGTTTAATAACCATACTTCTGCTTTTGTAAAGGAAACGTGTGTTGCACCTCCACAGACTCGGGCAGATCAAGGTGAACCTTTCAGTCTGAATAAACCTTAGAGCAGCTGGAAAATGGGGAGAAATCAGACGAGTCGGTGAAAACCTGATGGAGACGAAGCGTTTAGACATGTGATCAGGGAGTATACATGCAGGGAGGCTCTGAGACGACCGCAGTGAGCTTTTGCTCCTGAGAGAAGATTCTCTTTATGAAAGGAAACTTTTTGTTATTTACTGACTTTGAACACCGCCCCACTTGAGCTGATAATACATGTTTGGAGGGTCTTTGTTTGTACACTTCCCTAAAAGGATGAAAGTTTTTCACATTTTGCGTCAGGGACTCGTTTTCCTGTTGCGTCCTCGGCGGTTCCAGGAAGACGTCCCTTACATGGTGCCATCGGCCTGTTGCCCTGACACAGATGGCTCTCAGTGATGTTAAGAATGTGCTAAGATGCCGTAACGTTGTAACTCGCTGTAGCTTTCCGTTTCTGGGAAAGACGCGGCTGCTGGAATTCCACAAAAGGCCGAGAGCTTTGGGGAGCTGAAGTTTAGCCCCCGTGACCCAGGACCACCAGCTCCGTGTCGGTGGAGAGTCTGACGGAGGAAGGGCTTTCAGTGTGGGTCTCATGCGTCTCACGTTTCATATTTCTCCCCCCTCTCCTCAGCTGACAACAAGACGAAGAAGAAAATCACCCATCGGGAAAGGAAGCAGGATTTCTCAGCCTTCAAGCCGACCGACAATGAGATGAAGGTTAAAATTTCACCTCAGCTTCTGCTGGCTACCCTGCGTTTCCTAGCAACAGGTAAGTAGGCTGCGTTGCTGCTTGACTTCCCCTAGTGTGCCCTCAGTCCCTCGCTGTGTGTGTGTTTGTGTGCGTGCGTGTGTGTGTGTGTGTGTGTGTGTGTGTGTGTGTGTGTGTGTGTGTGCGTGTGTGTGTGTGTGCGTGTGCGCGTGTGTGCCTGTACGGGCTTTGAATACTGGCTATAAGAGAAGAGGAGAGCCGAGGATGTGTGTAGAATGAGTATCTGCTGTTTGTGTGTTGGTATGCGCGTGTGTGTGTGTGCGTGCATGTGTGTGTGTGTGCGTGTGCGTGTGTGTGTGTGTGTGGAGGGGGATGTCTGCAGAGGGGACAGACCTAAGAAAAGAGAAAAACGGTGCAGCAGGCGTTTATTTGCTTGCATGTCATGCGCTGGAGGTTACACGTTGCCATCTTAGCTCACAGCTTTAGAAACACCACCCTGCTTGCTTACACTCGCTCCTCAGTGACATCACATCCAGCATTTTTGGCCAGTGGTCGTGGTTCTCATACTTACTGGTGTAACAAGTGAAATGTTTCAGCAGCTTTCACTTGGGAAGCAGAATAATCGAGTCCTACTACAACTGAAGCGGCTGACTACGCCTCGCTGCTTTTGGATTTGCTTCAGAACTTTGACCTCCCGGCTAAGCGTTGATTAAGTTTCTCCGAAGGCTATTAGGGACTTTGGTTTCTCTGCAGCCAGCTGACACACATCACCACCGCTGACATGAAGGAGGTGATTGGCTCAGCAGGTGGCAGAAGGTGACCAGTCGGGAATCTTTCCTCCAAAACTCGACTTAAGTATAGAAAACAGATTCTGGTCTAACGCGCGTTCGTCCTGCCTTGTCTTTGCGCACTAAACGGATATTTAAATAAGTTGTTTGATAATAATCATCGTTTTTGGAGGAATGCTAATTTGCCGCCACCTTCTACCCTTAAACTGAGATCCTAATATTTATTATTATATATCAGATTTTCTCTTAAGGGAAAACCTTTTGTTAGATCTTAGTCGGACTCTCGTCGAATCTGAAACACCAGCAGATCCATTTTCATCGGCTGTGGTGGCCATCTTGGTTTGGTGCAACTCTAAACACTAATCAGATGTGGGACGTAAACCCTGTGAAGAGTTCCTGAGAGTTTTATTCAAATCCATTCAAGACATCAAACTCCTCAGAATAAAAGTTAGGAAACATTATTTCTCTCAATAATTCATGCCAATGATTGGTCACCTTCCCAGCAGGAATGTGCAAGGAGCGTGCATCCGTGGAGCGTCCCACCTGAGCCCAGCTGAGCTCTTCTGTAGAGGGACCAAAGCTGTGGAAAACCTCTCGTGCATACCGGACGTCTTCAACCCCATCGCCTGCTTTAGCTGCGGACAGAAAATAGACGTGGAACAATCCAGTCAGACAGATCTGTCACAATATAAAAGTAGCATTCATGGCCCCGCCCACTTTGGTGTGCGACTGCGGAAGGCTGTGTGGATTTTGCAGCCAGGAGCGAGCAGAACACATCTAAGCTAGAAGCTAACCGATAGCATTAGCAACTCAACGCTGCATTTTTACTCAGTGAAGGAGAGCGAAGGAAGGCAGCGGAAGAGTCGTGTTGATGTTAGGTAATCATGGATAAGATGACCTCAAGTCGTGAATCTTAACGAGTAGGGCGCCTAATTCTGTGATTCTACCTTCTCTTCTTGTGGTCGGAGAAACCAAACAAGTGTTGTTTCTGCAGAGGTGGAGCCCTTCTCGCCGGCACAGATGTCCGAAAAGATTCTGCTGCGATTACTGAAGCATCCCAACGTCATCCAGGAGCTGAAGTACGACGAGAAAAACAAGAGAGCAGCGGAGCACTACCTCTTCCACAGGAACAAGCCCGTGGACTATTTCATCCTTGTTCTGCAGGTGAGCGCTCAGATCCCAGCAGATCCAACAAGGGAGCGACAGACGGGAACGTTTTCATTTCCCGACTTAAACACAGACGCGGCATTTCTGTAGCTCCTTCCACATCCTTCACTTCACACATTTTAGGTATGTTTTTTCCTGCTACATTTCTGTGTCAACGCAGCAGCTGTGCAAACAGCACTACACTGTATAATCACAGTAAACATGTTGCCGTTAGCGCCGCTAGCTTTTGTTTTCCTTGGTCTTACAGTTTTTCCACAGTATCGTCATTGATCTGACAGGGCTGCTCTGCAGGGTTTGTTCCCACAGAGGCCTTTATAGGTATGCATGGTATGATGTTGCTTCAGTGGTGCTGAACAGCGACAGTACTCCTTATAGCAAAGGTAAACAGCTGAGTTCAGATCCAAACCCTCCGCATAAGAAATGTGTTTCAGTGCTTTCATCGTTTTAAATTCACATGTAAATAAAACTATCAACAGGAAGCCAGACACACACAATTATTTCATGTCGATGTGGAAATTGCACAAAAGCTAATTTTATAGTAAATGAAAGCTTTGATGTTACCTTTTGATGCCTTTTGATCGCCCTCTGTCAGCTCCGATGTTCTGTGTTGTGGCAGCTGGCCCGGCTTCAGGTTTTCCTTCACCCCCCCAGTAAACACTCAGTATTTTCTGTCTGCAGTCACCCTACTGCTCAGATGAACAGCTGAGGTTCGGTTTGTGATCAGGAAGTAGGATCACCTGTGTCATGAAGTGAGAAATGGGTCTAGTCCGCTTTTCTTTACTTTAAAAATCCAAATGGTTTCATTTCTGATTCTTTGGGCGTTTGGATGAGATTTCCTTCACTTTAAACTCATGTTTAACTCATTTCTACTTAGACGCTTTTTCGTCTCACATTAAAATAGTTTTCTACTGTGCCCGAGTCGTGCAACGCCTGTGAGTTGTGCCCTTGGGCAACGCTTCACCCAACCTGCCTGCTGATGGATTCGGAGGAACCGGTGGCGCCTCTGTCAGAGCGTCCCAGGGCAGCTGTGGCTACGTCGTAGCTCATCACCACCAGCGTGTGAATGGGTGAATGACTGATTGTGTTGTGAAGTGCCTTGGGGGGGCTGTAGAACCCTAGAAGGCCGGGTTCCAGTCGGTGTCTGGCGCTGCGCGGCGCACGGCTTCATAGAAGCACCTCTTAAATTAAATACTTCCATCAAACTTTAGGAAGAACTGATGCATAAAAACATGAGAGGTGTGAGCTTGCTTTTATTGGTGTTTCATGTTTCCATGGAAACATCGTTTAAAGAAAAAAAAATCCTGATCGGAAATAACGTAGATTACTTTGGATCTTCCTCCTCGTTGTTAGACCCTAAAGCGTCGTTCAAACTTTAATCCAACCCCAGACGCCGGGCTCAAACTCCTGCGTGCTGATTGGGTGAAAGCACACATTCCTGGGCATTGTGATGGGATGTCTGGAGCAGATGAAAGGTTCCCGCTGTCACAATGCTAACAAGCTACTTTTGTGTTCGGTTGTGTCTCTTTTCTGTGAGTGTTGTAGTTTTCTCTGCAACAGTCGATGGCTTGTAGTTGATTTAGCTCCTTCTAGGATTCTGCAACCCCCCAACAGCTTTACAACACACACACATTCACACACTGATGGTGATTCAAATTCAATTCAAAGATACTTTATTAATCCCAGAGGGAAATTAGAGTTTCAGCACACGGGATGAGCTACATCATAGCCACAGTGGCCATGGGAAACACTGAAAGAAGCGAGGCTGCCGTAACGAAACACCACCAGTCCCTCCTACCACCTCCAGCAGGTAAGGGAGGGTGAAGTGCCTTGCCCAAGAACACAACAACTGTGATAGACTGAGAAGGGCTCAAACCCGCAACTTTCCGATTATGAGACGGAACTCCTCTGCCACTGTCAGATACATCCTGTTACTTTAATGGCTCTAAAGATAATCTTATCAGATAATCCTACCGTGTGTGGTGTTTGGGAGCGCTCTGGTCTGCTTGGAAGCATGTTGGGATGCTTGGATGATAAATCAGGAATGTTAAATGTGTTGGTCTGTCTTGGTTCGGTATTGAGGAGAAACAAACGCACTTCCTGTTGACATCTAGCCAGTCAGAAAGCCAGGTGACAGAAGCACGCCGCACACTTCTCCTTCACAACGTTTGTCTGGTGAGATCTCCCTTCTGACCAGGGAGTGTTTGTGTGTGAAATCCCTTCGTGTGTAGTTTTTGTCGTGTCAGCAGACACCGGTCTTCAAACAGAACTGATGTTTCTGGGACTCTTCGCCACACGTGTGGGGCCCATCCTTTTCAAAATCCCGTCATGTGAACCGGCACTCTCAATGGTTCAGCCATGCATCTTTCTGTTATAACAGACTAGGGATGTAAGAAAATATCCATATGGAAACATATCGCGAGATTTTTTCCTGTAAATTATATCGAGATTCAAAAGCTGTGTATCGAATTTTTGGAAGAATTTACATGCAAACATTTGTGTATTTTCTTTTCTTTTGGTGCAGTTCAAACACCGACTGCTAGTTGGCAGCAGTGTGCAACGGGTTCTGTTTCCACCTCTGAAATGTAAATCCCTCTGTTATGGTTCATGGTAAACATGTCCTGTATCAGTTTGGACGTGTATTGCTAATATCGTCTGGCTGAATGTATCACAATATATCGTATCGTCTCCCCGTATCATGATACGTATCGTATCGCCAGATTTTCACCAACACACATTCCTATCACAGTCCCTCTTCTGCTACCTTCCTCTTCATCCTCCTCCATCTTTCCACTCCTCTTCCTCATCACACCTTCCTGCTCTTCTTCATTTCCTTCCCTCTTCTTTCTTTGTCTCCTCCCTACCCTTACTGGTCAAGGTGCATTCATCACTGATTACATTCTGAGAGTTTAGAGGTCAAGGACCAACCTTGCAATAAAACATGTTGTTGGAGATTACGCAGCACGTGGCAGACACCATCAAAGCTTCTTCAGGATCTCTCTAGTTAAATTTACTGTTGTAAATGATTTTATGTATTTTTTCTTGGACTTTGTCTCCAGAGGTTGGCTTTATGCTGCGTCGCTCACATTGTCTGGACTTCTGTTTCCAGTGATAAGCCATCACTGTGGGGGTGGACGAGGAGCTTTCCCTCATTCCAAACCTCCTGATTCGTCTCGCTGCTTATCGACCCGTTTTGGTCCGTTACTCTGAAGCTTTCATGCATCCTGCACACATTCAGATAGGCGACAAAGATTGCAAAAGTTCCGGTTTTTAACAAGTTTTCTTTCGTCTGAGTCAGAAACTCGAGTGATTTTGTTTCATCTGAAACATTTTCAGTATCGTCTTTGCAATGTTTTGTTTCCTTATTCAAAAGAGGTCATTCTTTATCAGCTAAACATGCAGATGCAGCACTTACATATTTACACTGTAGAGAATTCTCACTAGGGTCGCAAACTGCAGCGGCCGTTGGGCAAGAGCTGGGGGACATCATGAACAGGTCTCCAGTCCATCACTAGGACACAAAGACTCACTCACACCTAGAAACATTACCACATGCACGTTTGTGGAGAAAGCCCACTCACGCAGGGCGAGAGAATCGTAACTCTTCACAAAGGCTAAAGCACTGTGCCACAGCTGGAAATTGAACCTGCAACCTTGATGCCACAGCAACAGTCCTAGCTGCTTCACCACCATGAGATATAAAGTATAACGTGTCACCACTGGCTGTCTCTCGTCTCAGGGGAAAGTGGAGGTGGAGGCAGGAAAAGAGGGGATGAAGTTTGAAGCGGGACCTTTCACCTTCTACGGGATGATGGCGCTGACCACTTCACCTGGTGAGAATTCTCTGGGGGGAGGGGTACGTTATCTAAAGGTACTTCTGGATCAGGTAATCATAAAAAATGTCTGCTTGCGTAGTTGCTAATGCATTGTGGGTCACTGTTGGTGTTGTGCACCAGGACGTTTCTAGAAGGGACAAATAAGTAATGATGGATTTTTGTGTAATCAGGAGTTAATCCCACTTCACAAGAAGACCAAAGTATCTCCTCTTACTTGTGTTGTGTGAAAGTAAACCAGAGTATCCCGTTCATAGGTGAGGCTGGAAGTCCCGCCTCCTCACCTGCACACAGTCATGGCTTCACTTAATTCTAAAGCAGATAAGAAGAACGTACATCAAGGTCACACCTGCATCAACAAGGGTCAGCGCATGTAAACAGTTAATCTGTTGTTTGTTTTTCATTTAGAATCAGGAAAATATCCAGTTTGTTTACAGGAAGGGGGCGGGACTTAAAGCTCTTACTGGAACCTGCCACTAGGGGGCTGTTGGTAGAGAGCGCCTTTAAACAGGATAATGTGGCCTTGTTTTCAGGACATGTCTGGTCTGGTTATGCAGATTTAAAGGGTTTGGACCTAAATCATGCAAGAGTCCCTGAAAGTTCCTGTTCTAGAACCGGAGCCAAAAAGACCTGATTAAAGTAGGTATGGCCGATATTATTGATCTAATATTAATATGATGCCAATATTAGGCCAGTACCTTCTCAGCGACCTCGTGGTACAGTGTCTGCCCTGGGACTGGGACATCGGGGTTCAAATCCTGTTCGGGTCATAGCAAAGTGATGCCCGGCTTTAAAGGGTTGGGGGGGGTTAAACCACCAGGTAGCTTCTGAGCGCAGCCACAGCTGCAGCTCCCCGCAGGGATGGGTCACACGGGAGATCGTTTCACCAGCGCGTGGTGACTAATGGGACTTTTATTGGCTTTAAAATGTAAAATTGTAAAACATCAGTTTTTACTCCTTTAGTGACCCGAATGTTATATACCATGCACATATTTTACATCAAACTCTTCAGCTTCATCCCTTCTCTCTCAAAATGTCATAACGTGACAGATCTGAGGTTTTGTTTTTGAAGTATTTTAATTTTATTTTGCACATCTTTTAGCTATGTGTAGCTAACAGCATGTAGCTATGTGTAGCTAACAGCATGTAGCCGTGTGTAGCTAACAGCATGTAGCTATGTGTAGCTAACAGCATGTAGCCGTGTGTAGCTAACAACATGTAGCTGTGTATAGCTTACAGCATGTAGTCGTGTGTAGCTAACAGCATGTAGCCGTGTGTAGCTAACAACATGTAGCTGTGTATAGCTTACAGCATGTAGTCGTGTGTAGCTAACAGCATGCAGCCCTGTGTAGCTGACAGCATGTAGCCGTGTGTAGCTAACAGCATGTAGCCATGTGTAGCCAACAGCCTTTAGCCATGTGTAGCCAACAGCATGTAGCAGTGTGTAGCGAACAGCATGTAGCCATGTGTAGCCAACAGCCTGTAGCCATGTGTAGCCAACAGCATGTAGCCATGTGTAGCCAACAGCATGTAGCCATGTGTAGCAACAGCCTGTAGCCATGTGTAGCCAACAGCATGTAGCCATGTGTGACCAACAGCATGTAGCAGTGTGTAGCGAACAGCATGTAGCCATGTGTAGCCATCAGCATGTAACCATGTGTAGCTAACAGCCTGTAGCCATGTGTGGCCAACAACATGTAGCCATGTGTAACCAACAGCATGTTGCCATGTGTGGCCAACAGCATGTAGCAGTGTGTAGCGAACAGCATGTAGCCATGTGTAGCCAACAGCCTGTAGCCATGTGTGGCCAACAACATGTAGCCATGTGTAGCCAACAGCATGTAGCCATGTGTAACCAACAGCATGTAGCCATGTGTGGCCAACAGCATGTAGCAGTGTGTAGCGAACAGCATGTGGCCATGTGTAGCCAACAGCATGTAGCCATGTGTAACCAACAGCATGTAGCCATGTGTGGCCAACAGCATGTAGCAGTGTGTAACGAACAGCATGTAGCCATGTGTAGCCAACAGCATGTAGCCATGTGTGGCCAACAACATGTAGCCATGTGTAGCCAACAGCCTGTAGCCATGTGTGGCCAACAACATGTAGCCATGTGTAGCCAACAGCATGTAGCCATGTGTAGCCAACAGCCTGTAGCCATGTGTAGCCAACAGCATGTAGCCATGTGTGGCCAACAGCCTGTAGCCATGTGTAGCGAACAGCATGTAGCCATGTGTAGCCAACAGCATGTAGCAGTGTGTAGCCAACAGCCTGTAGCCATGTGTAGCCAACAGCCTGCAGCCATGTGTAGCCAACAGCATGTAGCCATGTGTGGCCAACAACATGTAGCCATGTGTAGCCAACAGCATGTAGCCATGTGTAGCCAACAGCCTGTAGCCATGTGTGGCCAACAACATGTAGCCATGTGTAGCCAACAGCATGTAGCCATGTATAGCCAACAGCCTGTAGCCACGTGTAGCCAACAGCCTGTAGCCATGTGTAGCCAACAGCATGTAGCAGTGTGTAGCCAACAGCCTGCAGCCATGTGTAGCCAACAGCATGTAGCCATGTGTGGCCAACAACATGTAGCCATGTGTAGCCAACAGCCTGCAGCCATGTGTAGCCAACAGCCTGTAGCCATGTGTAGCCAACAGCATGTAGCCATGTGTGGCCAACAACATGTAGCCATGTATAGCCAACAGCCTGTAGCCACGTGTAGCCAACAGCCTGTAGCCATGTGTAGCCAACAGCATGTAGCCATGTGTGGCCAACAGCATGTAGCAGTGTGTAGCGAACAGCATGTAGCCATGTGTAGCCATCAGCATGTAGCCATGTGTAGCTAACAGCCTGTAGCCATGTGTGGCCAACAACATGTAGCCATGTGTAGCCAACAGCATGTAGCCATGTGTAGCCAACAGCCTGTAGCCATGTGTGGCCAACAACATGTAGCAGTGTGTAGCCAACAGCATGTAGCCATGTGTAGCCAACAGCATGTAGCAGTGTGTAGCCAACAGCCTGTAGCCATGTGTAGCCAACAGCCTGTAGCCATGTGTAGCCAACAGCATGTAGCCATGTGTAGCCAACAGCATGTAGCAGTGTGTAGCGAACAGCATGTAGCCTTGTGTAGCCAACAGCCTGTAGCAATGTGTAGCCAACAGCATGTAGCCATGTGTAGCCAACAGCATGTAGCCATGTGTAGCCAACAGCCTGTAGCCATGTGTAGCCAACAGCATGTAGCCATGTGTAGCCAACAGCATGTAGCCATGTGTAGCCAACAGCCTGTAGCCATGTGTAGCCAACAGCATGTAGCAGTGTGTAGCGAACAGCATGTAGCCATGTGTAGCCATCAGCATGTAGTCATGTGTAGCTAACAGCATGTAGCAGTGTGTAGCGAACAGCATGTAGCCATGTGTAGCCATCAGCATGTAGCCATGTGTAGCCAACAGCCTGTAGCCATGTGTAGCCAACAGCATGTAGCAGTGTGTAGCGAACAGCATGTAGCCATGTGTAGCCATCAGCATGTAGCCATATGTAGCTAACAGCCTATAGCCATGTGTAGCTAACAGCATGTTGCCATGCAGGGGCGGATTAAGGACTGAAGAAGATCCGGGGCTTACACACACACGCACGCGCACACACACGCGCTAGTCAACATCATATATATTTGTCTTGTACCACATAATTTTTAATCTGAAGCTACATATTAAGCATATTCAGGGCAGAGTATTGTTCCTGTTAGTGTTTAGTGTGAGATGATAGTAAATATTCCCTTTCTTTCTCCATCAACTTTACTTGATAGTAATCTAACTTTAGGCAAACTAGCAGCACAACAAATATTTTCAAATAAGACTCACAAACCTGAGTCAACACCAGTCTCATCAAAGCTGGGGTTCTGTCGCCGTAATTTTGGTCTAAAAAACGTCCTTATGTCCATCTTCACACATGCGTTTCAGGCAGAGTGTAGAAGAAGCCAGCTGCTGAAGGGCTTTTTCTTCAGTGGTGGAGGCTCAGGCAGGCTGTATACAAGCTACTGCTAGCTGCTCCCTCTCTGTTGGACTTTGGTACTGCATGTTACTTCCACGTTTGAGATCCGGGGCTTTTCATTAAAGATTCGGGGCTTGAGCCCAAGTAGCCGGGCCTAACGCCGCCCATGTAGCCATGTGTAGCTAACAGCTAGCTAACCACTAAAACAAACAGCTTGCTTTTCTTAACTGAAGATTTTTATAAACTGTGTATCGCCGTAACTACAATATTCACTAACACACATCTTAGCTTAGCATGAGTACTGCTTACATTTGATAGTAAACAAGTACATTTTACTTCTATAGACAGAATCACAAAGTGCTCCACATGGATCAAAACAAAGTGAAACAAAGTCATAAAATCATAATGATCTCAACACAGAAACAGATTAATTTATTATAGATTTATAAACTAAGTAAGTGTAAGACGTTCCTTAAACACGTGGATAGTTCCAGACACATGCAGCGTGTTCGGGAGCCGTTTATTCTCTCGTTTCTGCCTCGATGGGAACAACGGGAACGGAAAAACTAAAGATAGGTCTGATGCAAGAGCGCTCACTCTGACGCGTTCCTGCACAGATGATTCAAAGATTGTCTCACTTTGATCCGTTTTCATAACCCAAAACATCTGAACCTTTTTAAGAAGATTGTAACCCGATTACACAAAAACTGCTGCTTTCTGTGATTTCTCATTCATTCGGGTCTGGGTTTGTCACCAAACTGACCACGGTTTTCTTATTTTTGTCATTTAATGGAATCATATTGGATTTTTTTTTTAAATAAAAACCTATAAGAAACCAGAAACATTCGTTAAGCTGAGTCAGACGTGTTTTTGTGTCCAAACTCCAGACATCCTGGTTGTACCTGCTCTAAAGAGACACCCAGTGATGCTCTCTGTCTTCTCGCTTCATTCATAAACTTCAGCTTTATTCTGAATCCCTCTGGTTCTGGTGGTGGTGGGATCTGAGAGACACCTACTGGTGGACCAGTAGAACATCCTTCCTGTTGGCTTTTAAATCACAAATCGAACTAAAGACTCTGTTGTGAGGAAAGCTGCTTGTTCCTGACTCCATATATTATGTGTACTGTACTTCTGACTGTTCTTTTCTTCTGTCCCTCTCTTGTCCCCCTTCAACCCCCCAGTGCCTCTGTCCCTGTCTCGTACGTTTGCTGTCAGCAGAACTGAATCATTAGCAGGATCTCCAGGTACTGTGGGTTATCTCTCCTGACACTAGCATGTGAGCGTCTAGATGTTTCACCATCATCACACCTACCTTTCCACACTCTATGTTTAGTGGGACTCTGAGTAGCGATGTGCCTGTTTGTCCCTGAACGCATCACGTAGCTGAGTGTGCTAAAAGGGAAAAACAGATCGAGACTTAACACCCTCGTCTCTGGAGCCATTAGTCAAGTGGCTGAATGGTGTTGCAAACTGGAGGCCCAGAGTGGAACTAGGCTCCGCCCCCCTCGCCCCTAACCTTTAACCCCCAAACTACATAAACAAGACCTGCAGCTACAGCCCCCTGCTGGACGGCACTGATAAACACACACAGACTTTTACATATGTTCACATGAACACACACACGCACACACAGAACCACAGACAGGCTGGGTTCAAATAAAGACGCACTCTCTTTCACTCTGTAGCAGCGACCCACATTGTGCCTCTTCAGATGTTTTTCCCACCCACTTCAGTACTCAGCACAATGTTGTGTGTGTGTGTGCATGCTTGCGTGTGTGTGTGTGTGTGCGTGCGTTTGTGTGTGTATGTGTGCGTGCGTGTGTGTGTGTTTGTGTGTGTGTGCATGCGCATGTGTGTGTTTGTGTGTGCATGCATGTGTGTGTGTGTGTGTGCATGCATGCGTGCGTGTGTTTGTGTGTGTGTGCGTGCGTGCGTGTGTGTGTGTGTGTGTGCATGCATGTGTGTGTGTGTGCGTGTGTGTGTGTGCATGAATGCATTAAGTGTATGGCGTTTAAAGCGTGCCACAACCCGTGCACGCGTGTGAACGGGACTCGCAAGCGGAAATATACATGGCGAGAGGTCATTTGTGCACTGAGAGGGAGCAAACTGTGTCTGTGAGCGCACAAGGATGTGCACAAGTGACAAACCTGCTTGCGCGCGTTGTCAACGAGCACACGGCAGAGGAAAACGTGCGCGCGCGGCAGCCTCTGTGCGCGCTCGGCAGCCTCTCTGCGCGCTCGGTTTCTGACTTCTGCTCGCTCGGCTGTAAGGGCTTTTGGCACTCTGGAGGCGTGGCCTGTGGCAGAT